TTTTTTGTTTATTGTGATAAAGGCTAATATGATACTGTTACGAGAAGTCTTTTAGTTGCACAAAAATGTGATTTGTGCTGTTATCATGTGTGGCCAGCTGGTGCTGGGTAATGGAACAACAAGCAGAGCAGTGTATCTTGTTTGACATCAGGCACTTTTTTCATGCATTGCATCATTGCATGTAGTTACACAATCTGGTACTTTTTCTTTTTTTTTTTCTAAATCATTTTCTTGTGCTGCCTGCTAATCTCTAATTGTGTTACTGAGTGGGGAAACAAAAAAGCTGCTGTTTGCAGTATTGGAAAGGAAAGAAGGGTGAGGGTTTTGGGGGCTAAAGCCTATAAAAACTTCAGCCTTTTTTGGTTGGGTTGGGTGGGTGCTAAGTTAGCCATTATTTTATGCATTTTTAATTTATTCATGGAACCCTTGAAGGGAGGCAAGGCATGAATTTCCGGCCAGGTCAAAAAAGCATGAGAAGAGGGGGTTACAAGTTTGAATTGGAAAACTGACTTTTTTTTGTTTATTTATTTCCTTATAAAAGAAAGAAAAAGAAATTGTGTCTCATACCTTTCTTTTCAAAGTGAAAGTGCAGAAGCAAATCAATCAAACAAAAGCAAACAAAAGGAACCCACCCAGGAATCTTACTCTCCTCTTATTATTCTTTCCCCAGTCGAATCATTACTGTTTAGTCATGTAATTGTACCATAACCTACACCACTCTCAATCCCCTTTTTCACAAAATTAAAAAGAAAAAGCAAATGGAAAATTTCCCTTTTCTCTTTAGAACAACTACGTAGACATTCTGATATTTAGGTATTCTGATTATAAATCAGTTTGTCTACACTAAATTAAATTTAGAATTAATCAATTTGATTAGGTTAAAAAGTTAAAAATTAAAAACTCAAACTTCATTTAATACAAAGAGAAAAATACCATTTTATTATTAAAAAAAAAAAGAAGAAAGTCTACCTATGAGTGCACAATTCCAAAAGCTTCTTCCTACCCTCAACAATCTCATCAAAGAAATCATCAAGTTGGGCTACGATGTTGTCAGTTCCAGACCTCAGCAGCCCTAAACACCCCTTCAAGTTGTCAACTCTCTCCCTAATCCCCACTTGTGTCTCCCACTCCCACTCCACAGCCCCTCCCCTCCCTTCCACCTCCCCTTTCAGCTCCTCCATTACAACCTTGGACCTCCTGAACTCGAATACCAATGTTCCACTCCTCCCCATCTCGTTGATCTCTGCTGCCACCCTCTGCTGCAGTCTCGCCGTCGACACCATCAACGCTGATCCAAAGAACAAGCACCCTGTCCCCTCGTACCCCAAACTTGATTCCGGCCAACTGTACACCAACCCATAAAGCAACATCATCAGAAGCACCGAGCTCACATTCCTCATCGCGTACAGAACGCCTCTGAACCCATTGAACCCATTAAGCTTCGAGTCAACAGACACCTTGTCTTCAAACCGCAACGACAGCGGCTGGATTCTGGTCTCCATCAATGCCCTGTTTTCTTCCTCTAGTCCCACGGCTTCCCTCTGGCAACCCGAAATCGCCCGAATAACCTGGCGGGAGAGGTGGGGATTCAGAAGGGGGTGATTGTCAAGTGAAGAAGTGAGGTTAAATCCAGCAGAGTGGTAATTTTCCATGCCAGAAACACCCGATTTTAGAACATGACAGGCCTCCCAGAGCCTAGAACTCTCGTCCATGTACTCGTCAAGCCACTTGTCGCCGACGGGCAAGTGGAGCCTCTGCACAAGGAGGAGCAGGTGGGAGTGGAAAGATCGGAGAAGGGAGAGGACCCTTTGAAGGAATTGGATGGACATGAAATTGGAGGTGGAAAGGTAAAGCCTTTCAAGATCATCAATGCCTCGGTTGAGAAAGGAGTAGAAGCCATTGATATCCATGATGAAGAATTGAATTGAGGAGGAGAAAATTGGAAAAAAGAAGGAAGAAGAAGATTGTTTAAATAGAAAAGGATTATTGGGAGCAATGATGGGTGTTTCCTATAGAGGGGAAAGGATGATTGGTAATATGGCATTTTCATTGTTTAATGGGCAGAAAGAAAAGAAAGCAAAATTTTGGTTCTGAGGAAAAGAGAACTTCAATCAACAAATTCCCCGTTTTGACTCTCTCGAGCAACTGAAATTCCTGGGTTTATTTCTCCTAGAAATATCTTCCACATTTACTCTTAACTTAGTCCCTAAACTTAACTCTTTTTCTCAACTTTGTCCTCAATTTTTTCTTCTTACTATTGTATAAAGGACTTAGTCACATACTGACATAAACTCTCTTCAACTATAATGCCTTCATTTAGGCCTTGCAAAAACAACTTCTTTATACCACCAATCTGTTAGTTTGAATATAAGAAGTTTTGTTATTTTTAAATAAAATTTTAAATTTGAATCTTATAAATAAAAAAATAAATATTAGAATGGATTTCTCATTTATGAAATCGAATATAATTTGACTCAAAATGAGTTAAATTTAATGTAATTTTTAGATACTATAAAATTTAATACCTAAAGAAAAATTGACAACTTCTTTATCTTATCTTTAGATTAAAAGCTTTTGTAGCAAATTTAAGTGTGAAAAAACTAATATTTTAATTATTATTAAACAATAATATAATAAATTTATCTTTCTCATCTAAATTTGTCATGCCAAGTTTTTAAATAATAAGTGAAAGAAAGGGACAGCCCAACGCATTAACAAAAAATCATCATAGATTCACAATTTAGTATTACAATTGGTCTTAGGTAAATATAAGTAAAATGAAGTACACGGGTGTAATTGACCCACAAAGAAATATAATGATGATATTAAGAAGGAAAACTTAGTTTAGAGGCTATCATAATGTTTATTCCCAAATTTCTTCCTTTTTTATAGACAATATCTCATCTATTAAATTTCGTCGTGGGACCACGATCTTAGTTGGGTTTGAATTGAAGAATTCTTCTGATTTGGTTGAATGCTCGTGGGTTTTTGGAGAATGGGACAACCTTTCTCAAGAAAGAGCATGTTGGTCTTCTTAAGATTTTCATTGATGCCAGCGCCTTATCTTGCCTCTACGGTCCACCTTAATTAATTATTGTGGTTGCGAGCATGCCCCTGAGTAAGGGCAAAAACCCTTCTTAAGCCCTCAAGCTTATCTTGAAATAACATTTAAACTCTTAAATTAAAAATAAAGTAAATAAACCCTCTAACTCCACTAATGATGTAAATAAGCCATTTTCATTCATGGGTTTTCATGCTTTCAATGTGATATTAAATATGAAATACCATTTGGCATGTTTGTGAGAATGGTTTATTTACATCGTTAGTGGAGTTTAAGGGTTTATTTATTTTATTTTTAATTTAAGGTTTAAATGCTATTTTGAGGTAAGTTTAGGGATTTAAAAAGGGATTTTGCCAAAAAAAAAATACCACTGGAAATGGTTACCAAGAAATTGGGCTAACTACACAATTGTTAATCCTCAACTTTTCCCAGTACTTGCAAAATCATCCCCAACTTTGAAACTGGCCAATAGGTCCTTTCCTTTTGATCCTAACATGGCCCTCTTAAAACTCCTCAATAATTTATAGAAAAAAAAAAAAAAGAGGAAAAGAAAAGAGAAGAAAAAGAGAGTAAAGATTTATGGTTGTAAATATGACTACAAGTGCTACTGTTAGGATTACAAAGTTTGATCGGTATTTTATTAGTTTATAATATTTTATTTTTTAAAATAATTAATTATAATATTCAAAAATGTTTATTTATAAATTAATTTTAATTTATTAAGTAATAAATATTAATTTTTTTAGTATTAATTTCTCAGTATCTAGTAATTACATTAAATCTCAATTAATCTGAAATCGAACTGCGTCATACTCTATAAGAAAGAAACTCTCCTAACATTTATTTCTTTACTTATAAAACTCGAATTCAAGATCTTATTTAAAGAGAACTGAATTTTTTTCATTTGAACTAACAAATCGTTGGTAACAATAAATATTAATTACTTTATTAATTATCAACTATTTTTAATAGTCAAACTAATAAATTATCAATCAAAATTATGTGACCTTAACAATAATATGTGTGGCTATAACCACAAGAAAAAAAAAAATTATACCATATGAATGGACTATCTCAAGTTGAAAAAGATTAAAAACAAAAATATGCTTAACATCAAGAAAAAGTATAATTTTTTAAACTGAAATGAGTGAGGTTTTTTTCACTTTACAAAGCAAAGTGACATCACAATGAGCTAGGTTTTGCATTTGATATGTATTATAATAATATAATTTGCATCCTTTTGTAAAAAAATATGAAGGATAGAATTGGAACTGAGCGTTTAGGACTAAGTGGTTCGTTCTCAAATCTTAAAGTGTTTGGATTAATTGGTTGGGGTTTCGAATCCCACCAATGCCAAGAAAAATCTCTTTTCCCAATCCCTAAATTGTAAACTGTTCAAAAAAAAAAAAATGGAAGACAAAATTGCAAGAGAACCTAAAGGTTGAGCACTAAAAATAAATAGTACATTTATCCTAGGAACTCTATTTTATGGAAATGGCCTAGGAAACTGTTCGTGCAGTTCCCTACCAATGCTGGCATGGCATATTGGCATTTATGGTGATGAGAGTTTTTCTACAATGAAATGCATCCGACGGCTGTCCACATCCCTATCAGAAAGGAGAATGTTTCATTTTCTTTCTTCATTATGATCTGAGATGGATCCAACTGTACTCGATGGTCCAGAGTTTAGACCACAGCACAGACCCTCCGGCCCTCTTAACAACTACCAAATGAAAATGATACTATGAATTTAACTCCATGCCGTATATGTACGAGTCCGCTGTTTTCCTTTATTATTTAAATTATATTGTATTATAAAATATAAAATTTTAAGTAAATA